TAGAAATAAATAAATAGATAAATTAAAAATAGAATATACCTGAATGTAATAGAAAGTGAAATAAAAGATGATAGACTTTATAATGAAATTTTTAGACGCTACCACTCAACTATAAGACAATTTTGCAGTCGGGTGACTTGAGGGTAAACCGTGGTCAGTTCTTTAAAAAGATTGGTTACAATGTATGAGAATGAATTAGTTAAGTGTAGAATAAATAAATTGATACATGGCTAATCGCTGCTCAGGTTAAACTCACAAAAAAAGCTTCCACCATAAGCTTTCTAATTTTTTATCGTTTGACTATCAAATTTCTATGTCTGTACATATATTGCCCAACTTTTGTAAATCGAGATTTAAGAATATTAGGCCAAGGCGATGTCATACTACAACTTTTGCCATTTCGAGTAAGGTCAATACAATAATTTGCCCAACAGTGAAAACAAAAACAAGTCAGAGAAACAACTAAAAGTAGAACAGATTTGTTGTAAAATAACAAACGCGTAATGGCTGCACCCCTACATTTTATGAATAAAAATAATAAAATAAATAAGTGGCCATACCAGCTGTTCACTTAATTCGACTGCGGCTGAAAAAGTTCCAAAGAGTTTTCTTATTATTGACCTACCTTTCTCCAGCTGTGCCCGGATGATCCAGAGCAGTCCGGCATATCTAAAAATAAGACACTTCTACAATAAAATGAGGTCAAAATTAAATTAGTTTTTAACTAAAATTGAGTATGCAAAAAGAAAATTATATTGTAAAGGTAGATATTATAGTTTTTTAAAAAACAAAAATGAGTATATTAATTTTACTTGTTTTACCAAAAGCAAACCGACCTAATTAACTAATATGGTCGACAATTTCCTTTTCTTATTCGAAAGATACAACTAAAATTTAAAATACTCTCTTGTCTAATAATGTAATAACATGCAATTACAAAGGCGGTGTGAGTTGCAAAAGGTTGCATGACGGCATAAAATTGAAAAATGGGTTAGGAGAATTAAGACATAATAAGGGCCAACTTCCATAAAACGAGTCATGTGGATGACACACCAGAGATGCCTTAACGACTTCTTAACAATATCTGACAAACTTTAACTGACTGTAAGCTTCCTATTACTTTTAAACTTTTAATTTGTATACTTAACATCTGCACATTTTTAGAAGCAAAGTTTCCTTGAAATAAATGTAAATGCTTATATCCCCAAATTACGAATATTTACGCTGTTTATTGTAATTGCGGAAAGTAAGTTTACAGTAGGCAGTTGTATGCATTTTTCCGAAGTAGAGAATAATTTTTCTCAGAAAACAATTCAATTTTCCTTTTTTGATAATAGAATAAGAATTATTTATTTGTTTTTTTATATGGTTATATGAACCTTCGGAGAGTCAGTTTTTTAGAAAAAAAAAGCCCAATTGTATTTCGGTTTCAAATGCAAGGCCGCTTTTGTATGAAATTTGGTTGAAAACAGACTGTTCTTCGTCAACCTCAGCGGGACCTGGACAAAGTGTTGTGAGTAGTATTTATTTTATTAATTACTATAATGGAATTGGTAGTAATCTTGATATTAATTAACGAATATGAATTTTTTGGAGAACTTCAAAATCTTACATTTATTAAGGTTAAATGGAGTGGAAGGTGTAACATAAGAGTTTTTCACGGTAACTACCGAACCATTTTCGATCAAATTTGGTACACATGTTTGTGTATTATTACTCTCAAGTTTAACAGGAGGTTTTTTGACTCGTCGTCTGAAAGAACTGTTCAGCAAGAAAACTTTTGAACACATTTTCTCCTGGGGCGTCGGTGGCCGCACCGGTTTCGGCGTTGACACGGCGCTCATCACTGTAAACTGGTTTGGGATGTTATTGGGTATGTGGTCCTTCAATTAATCATACACTGTATTATACAGTTGCCAAGCTTTCGGCTCTATATTTGACCTTCCTCAGGGCAATTTACGACGTCCTGAATAAAAATAATAATGTAATAACCATTTAAAAGTCAACGATTTTTTTAAATACACCTCTCTACACGTTTTTAACAGACACATCTGAAATTTTAACAGAATTTCTGTTAAAAACGTGTATTTACAAAATCTTTCACTTTTAAATGGTTATTACATTATTATTTTTATTTAGGACGTCGTACATTGCTCTGAGGAAGTCCAACTATAGAGCCGAAAGCTTGGCAACTGTATAATACAGTGTATGATTCATTGAAGGACCACATACCCAATAACATCCCAAACCAGATTATAATCAAAGTTGGTCGATAACTGAACAACCTCATCACTGTAAGGTAATGGTTCCGGGTTCGAATCCAGCGGCCCTGCATTCGAACCCGACATACTTACAAATTGGCTTTTTTTTCAAAAACCCCGACACACTGAGGGTTTATCTGACCTCTGCTGTTGCAACCCTCGTAAAAAACAAATCTTAAACTTTTCTTAAACTTCTAGGGCGGTAGTTTTTCTGACGTAGTTCCCCAAAAGTGACGTTTCATCATTATTTCGCATTTCCTGTCGATTCCACCTGAACTTTTCGGAAGACATTTCTGCCTAGTTGTGCCACGGAAAGATCTAGTGGCCGATGTTATAGGAACAGGGGCTCGCTCATGTTATAGGAATTCTTAATACAGTATTTTTTTAAAACTAATTTCTAATGCTCCAATTTTAAAATTTTTTGGACAAATTATCCAGTAAAGGTAATGTATTATATAAATATATTTTAAGACAATAAAAAATTGGTTAGATTTACCGGCAACACTTTGTCCGGGTCCCCTTAACGAAAATATCCTCAATCATCAGGGATTAATCAGAAACTATAATTAATAATTCACAATGATGTTTTTGAATTATTGCCGTTTCAAACAGATATTGCGATGTTTATAAACTTCTCAAAAATCGATAAATTTAAATTTAAACCAAAAGTTATATTGAGGCGTACCTAAAGCTGCTAAGACGAAATTTCACATTAGTTTTAGGAGGAAAAAAATATGACCTAGTATATTTCAAAATATTTGGTTTTTGGCTATTAATAAACTTTGATAGGTTTTAATAAATTGTTAGTACAATGTACAAAAATAAATAAATAAAAAATATTTTGGCACATCTCTGCCTGCTGTCAGATGTTAAGTAGAGGAATAAATAAATTGTTACATGGCTAATGGCTGGTCAGGCTAAAGTCACAAAAAAAAGTTCGATACGGATGCTTACATCTATATATTTGAGGGTATACCATCATGTAGTACAGTGGTTGAAAAAGATTGATCACAATATATGAGAATTAATTAGTTAAGTAGTGGAATAAATAAATTGATACTTGGCTAATGGCTTCTCAGGTTAAAGCCAGAAAAAAAAGTTTGATACGGATGCTTACATCTATATATTTGAGGGTATACCATCATGTAGTACAGTGGTTGAAAAAGATTGATCACAATATATGAGAATTAATTAGTTAAGTAGTGGAATAAATAAATTGATACTTGGCTAATGGCTTCTCAGGTTAAAGCCAGAAAAAAAAGTTTGATACGGATGCTTACATCTATATATTTGAGGGTATACCATCATGTAGTACAGTGGTTGAAAAAGATTGATCACAATATATGAGAATTAATTAGTTAAGTAGTGGAATAAATAAATTGATACTTGGCTAATGGCTTCTCAGGTTAAAGCCAGAAAAAAAAGTTTGATACGGATGCTTAACAAAGGTACATGGTCTCATTTAATTAAATTTGTACTAATATGTTTTAGAAATGAATAGATAAATAAAAACTAGTAAGAAAAATAGAGAATATACCTGAATGTAATAGAAATTGAAATAAAAGATGATAGACTCTATAATTAAATCACACAAAATGACACATGGCAATGAATAGGTCTGGCCAAAGAAGGCTTTACTTCTGCGTTTGTCGGGCTACAGCCGGTATTACCTCACTATATGAGCACAGTGAAAGAGAGTATTAAAAACTGGGGCATGAAACAATTCCTTAAGGAGTGGAATCTATCCCCCGGACTCAGGCAATCGAAAGAGTCTGTTAAGGTGATTAAACCAACAGAATCGAAATGGCTATTCTCTATCTCAAGGAAGGGAATTAGGAGGCTGGTAGGTATCCTGACTGCCCACTGAGAAGACACCTCTCCGTAATGTTATTCTACCGGATCCCTTTTGCCGTTTTTGCAAAATAAAAGAAGAAACGGCAAGGCACTACCTCGCAGAGTGTGATTGGTATGCTAGGTCTAGATTTGAAATATTTGAAGGAGTGGACATCACCAAATCACTCCCCGAGATAAAATGGTCCAAAATCTTGGGGTTTGTGAACAAGACCAAGAGGTTTATGCAGGACACTTGAGCCGACCAAGTCCCGGACCGGATGGGGTACGACCCAGACATTTAACCCCTCGGGTCTTGGTCGCCCACCCTGCGTAAATATATATAATGAAATTTTTGAAGGTACCACTCAATTATAAGACAATTTTGGAGAAGGGTGACTTGAGCATATACCGTCGTCAGTTCTTTAAAAAGATCGGTCACAGTAGGTGAGAATTAATTAGTTAAATAGAGGAATAAATAAATTATACATAGATATACAAATAAAAAATAAGAAGAAAAAAGAGAATATACCTGAATGTAATAGAAAGTGAAATAAAAGATGATAGATTCGGTAACGAAATTTTTGAAGGCAACCACTCAATTGTAACACAATTTTTGACACGGGTGACTTGAGCATATACCGTCGTCAGTTCTTTAAAAAGATCGGTCACAGTGGGTGAGAATTAATTAGTTAAATAGAGGAATAAATAAATTATACATAGATATACAAGTAAAAAATAAGAAGAAAAAAAGAGAATATACCTGAATGTAATAGAAAGAGAAATAAAAGATGTGATGCATCTATTTTGAAGCGGGAACCGTTAAACGACCGTAGCGCCTAAAAGCGGCCGTCGGTTCAACTGAGGTCCCGCCAAGCGCCCACTCCTTCGCCTCCCGACTCTACGGCCGCCTTTAGTTCAACGCCAGCTTCCGAAGACGTCTGTACGTCCCGTCGACCGTCTCACAGATCGCCGAGTGTTTCTTGTGTTCGGAACAATATCGTCGATCCCATTCAACCAGTGGGCTTGTGCTATTAACTATCTTCCCTACGAGAAAATCCTCCGTGAAGAAGAAATTTTTTTTTTTCAAAAAAGTTCTTTTTGTATTTTATTGAGTTCAGTGATTTCCTTTTTGGATTTTGAGAAAAAATGGAATTGCTCATTCTTCTTCTGCACCTCTTCATTCTTAAAGGTACGTACTATTTAAATTTCATTTTGCCTTTTTTTTTCTTATTATTAATAGTCGAATGATCGATGGCGCAATTAGGGCAGAAAACGTCGTTTTAAACAAATAATCGATTTTCCATCATTATGCAAGATTGAAACGATCGGATTCCACTTTCACTCCCCGTTTCTTTTATTGTGTAAATCTTTTATTTTTATATAACAAACCGTGGCTAATTGAATTTTAATTTAATAGGGGCCGTAGTTGACTAATTTTCTTCGGTATTGCTGAGATCCTTTTCAAAAAGTGACGAAATTAAAAAAAAATTAAGTGGTTGAATTTCATTTCTGGTCCGATTTGTGCCGATCTTGGATCAGAATTCCGCCGTTTTTTGGCCAAGCCCGCCCGTTTAGTTCTACCTGCCGCGAGGGCAGATCGGTGAACCCGGCCTCCGGCGACACGCCCGTCTCGGAGGCGTAAATTTTTGAAAAAGTCTCTCCACAATATAAATTTCTACCATTAAAAAAACATAAAAAATATTAAAGTATTTTTATTTGAAATAAAATAGTTTTAAAAAAACATCTAGAAAATGTCAATTTAATGGCGCAAAAACAGGCAGTGCATAACCTCTCTCATCACATTAAATTTCAAGCATTTTTCATCATGATATGATCATGATGATTTGAAAATAATAATAACCTTGGATTTGGTATTCCCTTAATATTTACCTCAATTCTTAAAAATTACTTATTCTGATTGTATTTTTGCTCAGGAATATTTTCAAATTTTAGATATGATCTGAAGGGCTGTCTATATCGTAAGAGGAAGACGATGTTGTTCAAGGATCATGGCATATCCAAAGGTCATTCTAGAAAATTTTATTCAAAAACATAAAACCGACTTTGAATTCCAATATAGTCATCTTACACATCAACTTGTAGATGTAGATGATTAGTCAGGATGTTTTTTATACTGCGCCCTTTTAGAGCTATTGAATGTTCTGTGCTTAAAGCACACCGGTAAGTCCGAGTTCATCAAGGGACTTGATTAGTAGACCCGATTTCAGTGTTTGGATCTATTCTACGGGCCCAAAGCACTTCCTCTTGGGGGGCAAGTCTAGCACCATAGTTTGTTAGTAGGTTTAACATCCCACATGTCCTGGGACTCAAGAGAGGCTGAATTTGTTCTGCATAGCTAATATATTTAGTTTGGTTTGAGTTCAGCACCATCTTTGAACTAATGGTAATTGAGCTTAGTGCTTTGATGGCTCTTTGGCTATCTGACATATGTTTTTGTACACTTTATTAAAGTTGAATTTACTACATCTCTCGATTCAAGACTTCAGCTTGAAAGATTCTGGGTTTTCCATGGATCCCGAGTATTAGTTCCAGGTCCGAATACCTCTGTCCCCGTAACTTCTTAGTTTCTAAAGATTGTGGTCTGAAGAGGTTTTGATTTAGTATAAACCAGGAAAGTTTGCAGTTGATGACGATGGACTAGGAAGCACTGCGTTATTTTGTCTGATTTTATGTTTTCTAGTTTGTTTGCTTAGTTCAATTCACTCGATGATTCTTTTAATGTTAGTATGTTAACTCACTTCGCAATTCTTTCTCCCGGGTCATCTACGTAGGTTATGTTACCATTGAGCGGTTATTTTGTATTCGAAGATGATACAGGAGGCAATTTCTTCCATTACTTAACATAAAAAGGGGGTCACCCTTGAAATATACCCATGTTGTGTACATGTTTTCCAGTGACCAGTATATCGCCCTTCACTTCTCAGTATAGGAGAACTATTGATATTTGAGCTTACCGCTTTGATCGCTGCTTGGTTATCTGACATGATTGCTATGTTCTTGTTTTTGTACCTTTTATTGAATTTGAGTGGAGTACATCTTTCTATTGCACAGACCTCAGCTTGGAAGATACTGGTGTATTTTACCTTGGGTTTCGAGTATTTGATTCCTAGACCAAATACTCCTGCCCCAGTCCTTCTAGAGATTGGGGTCAAAGAGGTATTGATTTGGTATAAACCACGGAGAGTTTGCATTTGATGATGATGGATAGGATGCCCTGCAGCATTTTGGCTGTCTGTATTTTTCTAGTTTGTTTGTTTAGACCAATTCACTCGATGCTTATTTCAATATAAGTAGGTCAACTTACGTCGCACGTCTGTTTTTCCGGGTCATCTGCCTAGGTTATGTCTTCATTGAGCGGTCATTTGTTTCCAGGTCCAAATACTCCAGCCCCCGTACCTTCTTTTATTCTAGATCCATCTGTGTACTAGTAACTGGTGCTATTTTTAAAGGAGGTGTTTTTCTACACATCACCTTACACTACCAAATTCTTATATTTTGGAATTTGATGTGCGATGTCATTGTTATAATGACACTTATTTTCAGATAGTCATAAACTTTTACAGACAAGTCTTTAAGTTTTAAGTATAATTATCTGTTAATTTTGGTCTAAAGAAGTTTTGATTTGGTATAAACCACTGAGAGTTTGCGGTTGATGATGATGAGATACCATGAAGCAATGCAGCATTTTGGCTGATTATACTTTTTTTAGTTCGGTTGTTTACTTGAATTCACTCGTTGCTTCTTTTGATATTAGTAGGTCAACTTACGTCGCAATACTTTTTTCCGGGTCATCTACCTAGGCTGTCTCCATTGAGCGGTTATTTTGTATTCAAAAAGAATACAGGGGGCAGTTTCTTCCATTGCTTGACATAAAAATGGGGTCATTTTTGAAATGTACCCATGTTGTATAGATGTTTTCCAATGACGGTGTATAGCCCTATCACTCCCCTGAATTAAGCCCTCTTTTAACTATAACAGTAAGTTTGCTGTTGAGGGTTGTTTTAGCCAGGCGTCCAGTGTCCTTTTAGTTTAACCGCTTCTCTTTTTTTCTTTTTTATTTATTCATTCTGTGATGGAGGATTCGTTGTTTTTGTTATCCCAAGAACAGGATCAAGGTTATGGTCTTGCATATCCTCTTCTGGTGAGTGTGTCAGCTTTTTCATTCGACAAAATTCCTTTATTTCCTTGTATACAAGACATCAGGCTGTTCTGTTTCCATAGTTTTTGATTTTGGATACATTCACTGTCTAGTTCTGTTGTGATGTTTGGATATGCCCATGCTTTAATAGCTGCTTGGCTATCCGATCTTATGAGGCTTTTTGCCAGTGCGCGATGAATAATAATAACATGATTAATCTCCAATTTCTCATCAAAAAATAATATTATTACAAATGTAAACAACACGGGGGTTAAGGTGATAATTTGTTAAAAAGTATAAGTGTTGCGATATTTTTGAGTTGAAATTAAGTTGATTTAAGTAGTTAAGTGAATTTTCCGGGTCATCTACCCAGGTTATATCTCTATTGAGCATTTATTTTTAATTCAAAAATGATATCGATGGGAGTTTCTTCCATTGCTTAACATCAAAATGGGGTCATCCCCCCATTATACTCATGTTTATGATAGATCCCAGGTTCCAGTGACCCTATGAGTTTTACCCTAAGTACAGCAATGTGCTTGCCAGTTTTGGTGAAGTTTCTTTAATCGTGTCTTCCTTCCTCTGGCACCTCTGGAGTTAAGTTGACTTGCAGAGCCTCCTTTGGCCAGTTTGTAGGTGACAGAATTCGTATATGACCTGGTCTTCTTGGTGCAGACAAATCTCTTGGAAAAGAGACAGTCATGGTGTATCTAATTTTGTTCTTTTTTCGGGTGATGTTCCCTAAAAATATATTTTTCGTCTTATAACACAGAGCTGTGTATATGGTGTAGACTTAGACGTACATGTTAATGACTATCATCTAATTTTGTTTTATATATANTTTAAAGTAATATATATATATTTATATATATATTGTTCGATTATTGACTTTAGGACACGACAGTGTCCTGGTACTTTATTTGTAGTATCTACTAAGTAGAAGTGTTTCATACATTGAATGTGAATCTTCTATGCTGGGTTCCCTTAGCGAAAGTTTCCAGTTACTTAGTTTATGCTTCCATTGAGCGGTAGCAAACAATTGGCCTTATAAGAATTTTTTTATGAAAGCATACTTATATCCATTGAAAATTGAAAAAAAGTTTTGAGCCGGGTTTTCGCTCTCTAACTGATCATACAGATTCGCTATAATAGCGAAGGTAAAAAATAGCCTTCAATTACAAGCCGATTTAACTCTGTTCTCACATTGATATCTATCTGGCCTTCTGTGGGACTTGCATTATGCTGGGACTTAGTAAGCCCGTTAGCTGTTTTCATGAAGTCATACTTTTTATTTTATTTATTAAAATTCCGTTGAATTGTTTAGATAATTTTTTATTCGAGGTTTTGAAGTTTTTCCTATTAGCATTCTTACAGCGTCCTAGTTGACGGGGACTTTAAACGTTTCCTCTCTTGTTCTTGACAAGCTAGGAATAAATTAAGAAAAATAATTAATGAAAAATTTGTACAAAAAGTTTAAGATTCTATTGTTTTTCAATTATTATTAATTAAAAAAATAAAGGGGAAAATAAAAACAGATCTTATTTGTATTTTGTATCACGAATTGACTTAATAGTTTAAACAAAAATGTTTAAAAAAATAGGAATGTTTTATGAATAACAGTTAACTGGGATGATTTATTGTGAGATTTCCTCTTGAGTTCTCCGGGGTGATGACCTGTAGTTTGGTCGTTTCCGGTCGTTTCGGTCTGCCTGTACTCTCTGTTTTAGGTCTATCAGAAGCATTTCGACTTCTCGCCATCTTCACTGGTGGCTTTAAGGAAAAATATCTATGATTTTTATAATAATTAATACGTATTAAAAATTCGTATTGAATTTTGTAAAATTGGAAAAATTATTTTAAAAACCTTGTACAACTATGGATCCAAACAAACCGGCTTTCCCTTTTAAATTATTATTATTATTACATTAAAAAAATTAATTTTTGAAGAAGAAGAACCGGTATTTATATGTACAAATATGTACATTAAATACGGTGGTTTAGTCGAGTTTCTGTCTTGCGACATTTACCTC